CTGGATGTGATCTTTTTGTTTTATACTGGGCAGTAATTGGCGGAATTACTCAAATTTTTTACCAAAAATCTTACAAAAAATTTATTCAGATATAATATATTATAAAAAATATAATAATGTAAAGTTATTTTAAATTTGTTAAAAAAAAATGAAGTAGAAAAAAAACTAGATTTAAAAAAATACTTGTAAGTTAACTTTGTAGGTGTATAAGTTTGGCGGCCGCAGAACTATAAAAGCTTCAATGTATTTTAGTAGAAACAACCAACATCTACTTTGTTCGACGGTCGTCACGCAACTGTCTCTTTTATTATTCTTTCTCTTAATTCTACCTTAGTTTACATGTGTATGCTTAATTCTATCTTATGACTACAATACTTATATACTATCATACATCTACAATACTTATACTACTACAACTCGGCCATCCTGACCTCAAGGATCTCCTGATTCTTGGTTTCTACTTTTAGACCTTAACATTCTAGTGCTTTCATTATTATTAACATTTTTCTCTCTGTCATCTGACACCATACATTTTCCAAACCACGGTTTCATATTTGAAGCTGCCCAAATACCTTTATACACCGCTTTAGAATGTTGAAACCCTTCTACATCTTCTATTACAAACCTATCGTTCCCAAGTAATTTTGTGATTTTATAAGGGCCTTTGAATTTAGGTATTAGTTTTTTTGAAACTCCGATATGAGTATCATAATTTCTTATCATAACATAATCACCTATCTTATATTTTGTCCCTTCTCTACGCTTCATATTCACAATTTTTTCATTATATTTTTGAGCTTTTTGTTGTTTTTCTTCTGCAACGAGTCGTAGCTGCTCTAAATTCCTTTCTGGTGCGTTTTGTTCAATATCTACTACGTTCTCTTTAAGGCTATCTATAACTTTCCCTTTTTGATTTACTCCAAATAACATAACGCTCGGATGTTCACCGATCATTCTATGAACTGTATTGTTCAGGGCATATTCAACTGTTTCTACAACTTTGTCCCAGCTTTGTTCTGACTGCGCACTTACTAACTTAGCTATCATAGGTTTTAGATTTCTGTTAACACGTTCTACTTGGCCGTTAGCTTGCGGAGATGCGGTGGCTATTTTTATGTGTTGAACGTTATTAGCATTTAAAAATGACTCGAATTCACCAGACGTAAAACATGACCCTCTATCTGAAATAATACACCTGGGTCTGCTATAAGCTCTAAAGTAATCGCATAATGCTTGCACCGCCTCCCTTGACTTTGTCGTTTTTGTTGGATAAAGCCTGACAAATTTAGTACACGCATCAACAACAACTAACAAGTGTTTCATAGAACACTTCTTTCCTTCAATCGGTCCAAAATGATCGATATGAACAACGTCAAAAGGACTTATTCCTTTCGGAATATTGTGTAAAAAACCTTCATGTCTACCACTTTTATCTGAAAAAGCAATACACTTTAAACAATTTTTTATATGAACGTCTACTTTTTTCTTCATGTTTGGAAACCAATAAGTTTTGGAAATTATTTCTACCGTTTTGTCAACACCTACATGACCCATTTCATCATGATATTTGTGTAATACGTTTGATTCCATTATTTCAGGGACACAGAATAATAGGTTGTTGTTATTATTTTTTCTATAAACTATACCATTACGCATTTCATATGTTTTACTTTCTGCCTTTTCCAACTGCACCTTAAGAGCTTTTAACTTACTGTCCCTGTTCTGACATACTACTAAATCCTGTTCGAACGAATTTCCCTCTACTACTAATATATTTGTGCTTCTACTTAGCGCATCTACGTGTTGCATGTTCTTTCCTGACCTATGTTGTACCTCATAGTCATAATTCTGTAATTCCAATGCCCATCTGGCTATTCTTGGATTCAACTCTTTTTTTTGAAGTGTGAGTGTTAACGAATTGCAATCTGTAACTATCTTGAACTTTCGTCCCGTTAAGTACACTCGAAATCTTTCTAACGCATAAATTATGGCTAGTGTTTCTAGCTCAAAACTATGGTATTTTGACTCCGTATCTGTAGTTCTCTTGGAGAAAAAGAATACTGGATGCCATTTGTCATCTTTTTTTTTCTGCATTAATACAGCTCCAAACCCAATACTACTCGCGTCAGTATGTAACTCTGTCTTATCATTCGGATCAAATAAGGCAAGGATCGGTGATTCTACTAATTTTCCTTTCAGTGTTTCAAATGATGCTAACTCCTCGCTACCCATACTAAACCGTTTTTCTTTTCTGGTAAGATCATACAAAGGTTTGGCTATCAATGAAAAATTTTTTATAAATCTACGAAAATAAGAACATAACCCCAGAAAACTTTGTAGCTCGTGAGCATTTTTTGGCAACGGAAAATTTTTAACAGCCACCAACCCTTCGTCATCTGCTTGTATGCCTTCACCGGTTATCCTATACCCTAAATATTTAACGCTTCTGTATAAAAATTCACATTTGTCTAGTCTTAACTCCAAATTATTTTTTACTAGTCTCTAAAAGACTTCCTCTAAAGTGGCTAAATGTTCTTCTACACTTTCTGTTGCGATCATAATGTCGTCAAGATATATTATCACTTTATTATTTTTAATCATATCAGCAAAAATTTTGTTTACAAATCTTTGAAACGTCGAAGGCGCGTTTTTCAAACCAAACGGCATTCTTAAAAATTCGTATTTACCTAACGGTGTAACAAAAGCTGTGTATTTAACAGCTTCTTTATCCATATACACATGAAAAAACCCATTTTTCAAATCCAATTTCGTAAACCATTTTTTGTTACCTAACTTGTCCAATAAATCATCTATCAAGGGCATTGGATAATTATCTTTTAATGTTACTTTGTTTAATGTACGATAATCGACACACATTCTTAATTCGCCTGTCTTTTTCTTCACTAACACAATTGGTGAAGAAAATTCTGACTCACTTTCCTTAATAATACCTTTGGACGTATAGTCATCTAACATTTTTTGTAACTCATCTTTTTCTGTATATGCAAGTCTTCTTGGGGAGTAATTAAATGGTTTAACATTATCTAAACTGATCTTCATTTCACACTTTATCTCGGGTTCTTTTGGACGCACTGGTGTCAGATAACATTTAGTAAATAACTCTTCTAACGACACTTTTGTTTTAAATGACACTTCTGGACCAATATTACATTTTTCTTTATGTTCATCATTTATATCGATTGCTAAAATACTTTCTTCAAAAGTTTTTGCATCGTCACAATTACTGTCATCACTTAATTTTATATTTTTTTGATATTTAAATCTACTGTTTTCTTTTGGCTGATCTTTACAACAATTTTTCCATATTATCTTTGCATTGCTTTTTCTTAAAAAATCTCTACCTAAGACTGCTTGGCTGCCCATAGAATCATCAGCAACTACATAAAATTTAATCATTACATTTTTTTTATTCAAAAATATCAAACAACTTATTTCTCCAACTATTTTTAATTTACTTTTATTAAGGCCAAAATATTCTACATTCGAAATTTCATTTAACTTTACCGCTTCCGGTACACAACATTTTTTCAAAAAACTAATTGGGCTGCCAGAGTCTATTAGGCATTCTAGAAATAAGGATACTTTATATAAGCCTATAATTGACATACGAAAATACCTTACATAATTATTTTGTTGTTCGTTGGCGTTGAATTTTTTACTGGGACAGACTGCAACCCGGTGTTCCAAACTACCGCATCCATAGCAAGCTCCGAATGGACGTTTCGGTTGACGACACTCAGCGGCAACATGCCCAGTATTACTGCAGTTAAAACATCTTAAGCCTTGCTTTACACGCCTTTCATTCGTCGACACTGTCCTAGCAGTATTTTGATTAACATCGCCAAACGCTGCTACCAATTTTTCTTTTGATTTGAACTGCTGCATTTTTGCAAGCATACGCAGTTGTGGATCACGTATTCCATCAACAATGTATTCAACTAACTCTTCTTCCGACATATTTATCAGTAATGATAAAACAATTTTATCGTTGTAATAATCAACAAATTTTTCATCATCGGACCACAAACGTGTTTCAAATTTGCGACGCAATTGAACAATACTCTCTTTTGAGCCAAATACGGAAATCATTTGTTCGATCAATATTTTACTGCTTTGTGTAAGAACATTTGGTGTAGAGTGGAGCCAATTTTGTACTCTACCTTTTGCTTTCGTTATAATAAGTGTTCGAACTACATTGTCTTCTAATTCGTAAGCTTTTTCTAACGCTTCAAGTTGCGTAACCCAAACATTAAAATTGTTACCATCGCATTCCGGTAAAAATTCTTTTAATATTATGAGCGGTACTTCTTTTCTTTGTACTGAATGTTTACATTCGCTTAAACTCGAAGTGTTTAATTGTAATTGAGTCATTTTCTTTGTCAATTCATTCTCTTTTTTAAACAGATCACGCTCTTTCTTAAGCAACTCAATTTCTTTTTGCATGAGTTGCATTTTTTTTATTTCTTCTTCTCTAATAGTAGTTTCTCTTTGCATTTTTGCTTCCTCTGTTTCTTTGTTATTCACTTCCTCCCTTACAATTTGATTTCGCTCGTTACTCACAATTTCACAATTTTGTACAACAGACTGCTCAACTGCTTCATCACATTCTGGCGTCACTGTTTTTTTTATGCTCATCGGCGCACACTCACTGCGAATATGCTGTGGCACTTTTGTTAAACGCGCAATCAACTGCGTTTTGTTTCCACTTACTTGCAACTTCAATTTTGTCAGCCAATTTTTTAGCTCCTCCACCGTTAGATCATCAAAACATAAAACGTCAGCTATGCCATCCATTCTTCACAGTTTTATATAAAAATTTTATATATATATATTTTATTACACACGGGCTTTAAAAAAAATTTTTTTTTTTTTACTTGAT